TGAGCCAGCACCCCAAACATTGCCTTGTGTCAGTCAGAACTGGGACAGCAGAGCAGAGGGACATTCCCCAGCTGAGCCAGCACCCCAAACATTGCCTTGTGTCAGTCAGAACTGGGACAGCAGAGCAGAGGGACATTCCCCAGCTGAGCCAGCACCCCAAACATTGCCTTGTGTCAGTCAGAACTGGGACAGCAGAGCAGAGGGACATTCCCCAGCTAAGCCAGCACCCCAGAGATTCCCTTGTGTCAGTCAGAACTGGGACAGCAGAGCAGAGGGACAGCTCCCAGCTGAGCCAGCACCCCAAACATTGCCTTGTGTCAGTCAGAACTGGGACAGCAGAGCAGGAACAGCTCCCCAGCCCCCAGGAGCCAGGCAGGGCAGGACTCCCCAGCCCTGTACTTACACCAGCCTCGCACCGTGTGCTTCCCACACGTCATCACGTATTCACTCTTCTGATTTTTCCCAGGAATCACTTCAAACTTGATGGATGTATCTCCCATTCCGTGGTTTCTTAAGCACAAAATCAAGATCACATACTAAGTAAAACTACAAACAACTGAAGTGGTTGCAGTTATCTTTGAGAGTAATTGCAATGAAATTAGACATTAATAAATTCCAAAACATTCATTAATGAAAAGGGTATTTTAGATCAGTCACTTGAAAAGGCAAGCCTGTATGAAGGAAAACCAAATATATGTCCCACAACTAAATTCTGATCTCAGAAGAGGCATAAACAGCAAATATGAATTCAAAGTGCCTCAGCATTGCCCAGCTGAGTCCTCCCAAAGCACAGGGAGCTCAGCCAGCCCAGCAGTGCCCAGGCACTGCCCAACACTGCAGGGACACTGTGCCCCCAAACTGCCCTCCTGCTGCAGCCTTACCTTTTAAGGCACTCATGGAGAATCTGATATGGAGACAAGAGTCCAGCTTTACTGGTGAGTTCATATACCCGTGAGTCCTCAATACTGATATGGTTAAAATACTACAAAGGAATGGAGAAGGGTCATTGTGCTTTGTGCAAGTAAGGCCCTAAAACTGTCCCTAACTCTCATTTCTCCTTTGCAACATTCAATAAGATCTGCTGCTCTGTGCTTAATACTTTAAAAAGGGCTTTTAAATCCATAATGGGAGGTATTTATCAACATCCTTAAAACTGCCACACCTAATCACACAGCTATTGGCACATTTTGTATTGCAAAACAACAGAAAAAATGGTTTGCATTTTCCTGATGACCATTTCAGTAGTGTAGGGGATACAACACAGTTTTAAGTTAAAGCAAAGGTACAAACAACTAGTCTTCTGATCACTGATTTGTCCTTTACTCCTCACTGATGGTCTGTGGGAAGTACCACTGATCAACAAACTACTTCATACTTCCAGTACCTGAAAATATAGCACATATTCTCCACTTAAAGAAACTTTTCCTTTCATTTTCTCAAATGTCACTGCCTGAGATTTACAGGTAGGTAAAAACGCCTCAGAAGCCTGAGCAATTCCAGTTCTTCGTTGGTGTCCTAAGATGATCACACAAAACCAGACAGCACCTCACTCTGAACTTTTCACAGCATCAACCAGAGGATTTTGGAAGCCAGGACAGTACAGGCAGTCTGGTATCTTGGAACATTTCAGGTCTTCAGTAAGTGACCTGATATAATCAGTAAGGAACTAGCTCTCTGCATCACATTAAATCTTCTGATCAATTCCAAATAAAAAAAAAAAAAGGTATTTTCATTGCCACAGATCTTCCTCTAAAGGAAGAATTTCACATTTCCCTTTGACTGAGAAAACAACCTCATGAACTTTCCATTGTATTTTTGACACTGAAGGTGCAATGTTTTTAAAAACAGACTCCAATAATGACAGCCAGGAAGCAAAAGCTCAGTACCTCAAGTTCTTGACTGTCTTTGGGCTTCTCCTCAGAGGTCTGTTTAACAAAGTCGGGAATAAGGATTTCCAGTGTAGCTCGAGCTGCAGAAAGCGATTAAACATCTTGGTTAAGTTTACTTTAAACAATGATTGTAAAGAAAAAGATCTCCTCTAGTAAGTGACACAGAGCCCTTAGCAGCAAAAATCAGAGTTGTGCCCCTCAGTTGTTAGAGCTGAGCCCTGGTGCTGCACCCCCAGGGCATTCAAACCCCAGCACGGTACAAAAAGCACCCCCAGGATCTGCCTAAACCTTCACAGCAAAATCCCTTTTCCTCATGCACAAACAATTCCAGGCTGCTTTTTGGGGATTTGGCTGCACTGATGGAATTCTCACATGCAGAAGTCACCACATGGATGTTACACATCTTTACGTGCTGAGGGGTTTTTCCTGAGCCTTGTGCTAAAGAGACTGAAACCTGGAGCTCAGTGAGGAGTCCTAACATAGCAGGTGTGGCAAGACATTCCCATCTAGAACTACTTACACAGTTATTACAGACTTACACAATTGGAATAATGAAGACAAGTACTTAGAAATCAATAATCACATAGTTCAATGCAACTGTTTTATTTTCAGAAAGAAAACCAATACAAACAAAAGTTGGAGGGATTTTTTTTTTTTTTGAAAGACAGGCAAATATTTTCATTTTGCTACAATCCATCCCCAGGTGTTTATACAGCAGGTGACAGCAGAGACATAAAACCTCCAACAAGTTCTTACTGGTGTGATCATTAGAGACAGACTCTCACACTGCTGCCCAGTGCACATCAAGAGTCTGCATGGAAGTCAACAGAGCAAGTTTCTTCACAGTTTTCTGTCCCAGTCCATTGCTGAACCTTTTCTTGTCAGCAAAGTCTCTGCACCAGCATTTATCAATTTTGCCAAAAGGCCATATACACATTTTCTTTGACTGTTAACAAAATTATTCCCACTTACTATAGCAAATACGTAATTTCCAAAGCAGAAATGAAAACAGATAAACAAATCAGGAGTTGTTATTAAGAAAGAAAAAACGTTACCAGCTTTATTCTTGGCAAGTTTTTTGCTGCTGGCAGTTCCTGCCCCATAGGTTACTCCATCAATAATAACTGAGGCTCCAAAAGGTTCACTTGGGTTCTCTGGAAACAGAGGAAGAAAGTAAAAGAAAGCTTTGCAGAACTCTCAGTGTAAAATACACTCACCATGAATATGAAATACCACCACTATCAAGGCTTTCTTTTCTTCTTCATTTCAACTTCAAGAGGGATGGAAATTGTTTATTCTTCATAAAGACTGAAAAATTGCTTACTTCAGTATAAGAAAGACTAACAAGAGTTTTCCATTAACAGAGACTTACCACCATATACTCGTTCTTCCAAATAAAGAACATTTTAAGAGATCCCTGGTAATCTGCCAGAATTCAAGTATCAACACCAAAGTTTCCATATCCCAGTGTGAATACAAGAGCTACACATTCTGATATTGAAAGTTCAGGTAAATTATGTAATACATACATAGGAATAACATAATTCTGAAGAATTATAAGGTCCCCTCAAAAAAAAAAAAAGAAAACAAAACAGCAAAAGTAAGAATTAAGGGAACATACATCATAGCACTTCAGGAAACAAACCCCAACGTTAATTTGATTGCAGGTGTATTTTAAGAAAACTCAACAGACTTACCACATTCAAAGAAATTGTAAACAGGGCGAACCTTCAGGACTCGTTGCATATATTCATGCAGTATGCAAACTTCAGACTTCCCATTGGGATTAATGACAAACTCTGCAAAGAAAAAAGACAAAGAGAGGGGAAGAAGCTAAGTAGTTCCAGTCTTTAAAAGACAATTTCTACTACAAATAAATCAATCAATAAATTAGAAGCTCCAAGGGATAAGTGCTTGCTCAAATGAAATGTGCTGCTGTTGAATGCAGCACAGGTAACTAAGACCTCCCAGGCCATTTTCATTGACAAAGTATTGAGGTGTGAGTGAGACGTTTCTATCAACAACTAGAAGTGCACTAATTATGAGCCAAGTCAAACATTCTGTTCAATGTTTGCAGTCCCATGGCCTCTGGACCTCTAGACACAGCATTTTTGGCAGCGAACATCAATTAGAGATCCTCTAATTTGCTCCAAACACATCAGAAGGGAGACACAACAACGGGCACATAGACTTCAAATCCAAAAACCAGAATCATTCCCCCTTCCCTCCCATACAAAAACCCTGTTTAGCAAGCCACAGACCAGGGCACTGCTCCCTTGCCATGACTGTGCTCTTTTTATTGGAAAGATTACTTTTTGGTTGGATGGGATTTTTCCCCTGCAACAGTAACATTAGTCAAGAGCACAAACCCTGGCTCAGCAGGCACTATGGCAATATGGGGGAGAAAGTTAAGATTAGACAGGTAAAGTGCAAATATGTCTTTAATTTAGACAGTTTCAACGGGGCTCTAAACCTGCACTTGAAGATAAAAATGTATTAAGTGAAAATTCAGCTGTACCTCCCTATAACAGGCAATGGTCAATATGCAACTCATGAGTTTTAATTCTGCTAAAGAGAAGAAACTCAGAAACATGACAATGTACAAAATAAAACCAGAATCCAAATCACAAGTCTAATGGACATTCTAAACATCAGACTGCAGTCAGATGTGCTATTATGGATACACAGCCAATATACACAAGGGAACACTCCAGCTTCTTGTCAGATACAATATCCACTCATCATACCACAGGACACAACTGCACACACATTTGTATTTTTAACAGGAGGTTTTAATCTGGATTAATATGGCATTTGTAACCAATCCCTAATTTGGGACCAATTAGAACTGGTACAGAACTGAGAAGGCAGTAGCACTGAGTGACAAGGCAGGAGGGTTTTCAGCAACAGCCAACAGTAAGTATAGCTGAAGGTGGTCACTGGTAACCAGGACTGTAACCTTAAATAAAATAAAAATCTTTTAATTTAGAATTATCTTTTCAATAGGAAGCACATTTCGACAATATTTTCCCTTTACTATGTAATATGATGGATCAAAGAACACAAAATGAACTTATTGGAGGATTTATTTTCAGCCAAGCTTAGAGCTGCTATTAGTGTTGAAGGCAGAGTGTTTGAGCTGCAGGCAGATAAGCCAACCTTTCTTGATAGGTGCATCCTGCACAGAGAGGGTGATGAGTTTCTGGTTGGCAGGCAGGATGGGCCGCTCGGCCTCGGCCTGCTTGCGCTTCATCTCGCGGTTGAACTGGCGCCGCTCCGCCCACGTCCGGAACTTCTTCACCGTCACCTGCTCGAAGTCAAATCGCTTCTCCAGATAGCGCCGGAAATCTTCCAGATCTGAGGAACACAGGCAAGTTACTCTCTCCTCTTTACCACTGAGCAAGCAGTAAGTTCTCTATTTCCACTGTTTAAACAGGCTATAATTACAGTCTTAGAGCAGCAGCCAAAGGTTAAGATGCTATTTTACACTAACAGAACTAATTACAAGTTTTCCTGTTACTGGGTCAAATGCAAAACATTTGTGCAAACTGGAAAACAAAACAAAAGACCATTTTATTCTGTCATTTGAAGATTCTAGGAAGCCCTATCTAGCACAATACCCAACACAGTTTGTAACAAACACTGGCAACTGTTCTGCTTCAGCACCTGTTCACCTTCCTGTCCCTGAAGCGAGGCACACAGTGAGCACAGTTCTGCTTCCAGCCTCAGCTTCCTGAGCCCAACTATCGCTGCCTATTTATTCAGCAGTGAACCATCAAACTCTGTACAGTGATGCTGCATGACCTCCAGGAGTGTCTGCAGCCTCTAAGCACAATTTAACACATTCATTTCATGCACAGAGCACTAAAAGACTCCCCCCTTGAAATACAGCTGCTTCTCCTTTCTAGGATACTTCTGCAGATATAATCAGCAAAAATAAAGAGTAGCATCCACAGATGTAAACAAACAAAAGCAAGCTGCTGGTATTGTTTCCTTCCACAAGGAACTCCACATGCAAGTCATGCTTATGCTTGATCACTCACAGATCCTATTTGAAGAAAGAGATACAGAGGTGAACTTCACGTACAAAAGTAAGTGCTCACTGGTTTTAGTTTTGCTGCTAAATACTGGTGATTTGGGGTTTTTTAAAATCTTTTGGCGTGTTTTTCTGAGTGAACAGGACACATGTAATGTCAAGGGCAAGTTTTATGTTTGAACACTAAAGACAAGTGGTAGCCTATGATCCATATCAATATTCTGAGGAGCATTAATTTACATGGATGGGCCTCTCAGGTATGCAGATGTGGTAAGTGGCACTTGAGCTTCCTCTCCAAGTTCCTCTAAGTTAGGCAGTGATTTTGGCATGACTTCTTCAGACAACTTTTTGTGCAAAGGCTATCAGACTTGTACAAATAAAATAATGAAGCATCACCCCCTTCATATGCATCCAATTATATTTGCATGACTTATTTTGATAGAGTTGTGCAAATAAGGAAATATAGTTTCTTAAAGAGCTGATACTGAAAATAGATACAATTCAGCCAACATAGAGGCTGCCTAGAAAAGCCTAGTTAAAGAAGTCATACTAACACACCTGACAACAGCAATTCAAATGTACACATTGACTTAACTGACTGTTAAACTGAGAGAAAGTCTACAGGACTAACTTCCAAAATGTTCACATTTTTTGTGTAAAACCTTTCCATGTGGACTCTCAAGGCTTCAGCAAAATTCTTCACTGTGTATTTCTTTTCTGTTAAAATCAAAATTGATTTCTAATACTGGATGTGTTTCTCCAGATCTCAGAGCATGCAGCCTGATAACTGATCACCTGATCTCAGGCAAGATACCACTCAGCTGCCAAGTCAGGAATAAAGCCTCCCAAATGTCATTACCCCAACTCCAGGTAAGAAAAGACTCCACTTGCCATACATACCTACAGATTCATCTTTACATACTTCAACTTTGGCCTTAACTTGTCCCAAGGCTCCTTGTGCTGCATCTCCCCCAGAGGGGTCTTTGTCATCTAAAGGCCCAGAATCAGCAGCAGTGGAATCTGGTTCTTCTGTTTGGCAGTCCAGTTCTGAGGATTTCTCTAGATGCTTTACGGGTGATACCTCCCCATTTGGGGTTATGTCATTGTTTTGTTCCCTTTCCTCATTTTCCTTCATTTTTTTGTAATGAAAGCAAGGAATGCTACTAAGGGGAGGATCATGTTTCTGCAAATATAAAATAATACAGAAGGTATCAGTATCTCAAGGTCACCAAAAGCAAAAGTCAAACCCGAGAGATGCAATTAAGATGGAAGTTACTTCTCCTCAGTGCAGGCTCTGGCTTGTCTTTGGTCAGCAACCTCATTCTACTCCAGAGCTGAACGGGGTCCCTCCTGTGGTACCCTGACACTGGGCACCCCTGACACAAACCTGCTGAGAGTGTTGGCTGCTTTAGATCCAAACTACATTCTGGTCACTTATATGCACACACCACATGCTTTCATAAAATCCACCCAGCTTTCTTGAGGCATGAGCCCATGGCATTAAATCCAGTTTCTGCAGATTCCTTGGGTTCATGACTGTCACATCCTTACTTCTACAAATGTGGACCATAAGCCACAGCTCAGACTAGTTTACAGCTACAAATAAGTGATCCATATATATTGCATGGTGGAATAAAACCAGAAGTTTTCAGCCATATGCTAGAAAAACAAAGGCACCAAACAAGATCATCCCATTCTCTTTAACTGCCCAAACAGAAAACCCAAGCACCTAAGAAAAAATCATATCAAATTTTCAGAAAGAGAAGAGTTTACTTTTCAAGGACCTTAGTTTTAACACTGGAAAAAAGCCCACTAAAGTAGAAAAATATTCAACTGCTTGCAGGAACACATCTAATGTTTAAATCTCAGTAAGTATGTAAGTAATTGACAGCTCTCACCCTTATGCTTCCTGTTCCCAAGAAATAAGGTCTAGACCAGGTAACAACTCTGGATTCTCTGTGCAGATATACAGGGATGCCCGAGTTATGGAATGTCATGATCCATCCATCTGGCAAAGGCTCTGTAGGAGGGCGGCCACGACCTTGAAAGCAAAGAATGGCTTTAAACTTGCACAGACTGCTTAAAAGAACAAGAATCCAGGTTTTTATTTATTGCCTTTTCTGTCTCAAAGAATAAAACTGCACTGCAATAAGATTAAAGATGTTTTTCAGAGAGTTGTTTTAATAACAAGGTATATGCTTCTAACCCACACTAAATCCTGAAAAATTACAGATTCCATTATGTTCTCAATTGAAAGGTGAGAGAAGCACTAATTTTTATACAGACTGCTTTGTTTGTTTCTTCACTGGATTTTCTTATTAGTCTTTTTTATGTATTTAAACACCACTATACTTACTGGAAAAGTCACACTTGCTTTAGAAACAACTGAATTTTCCATTAAAAAATTTTTCACTTGACACCTGGGAATAAATTTGCATTGAGTCACCACCAGACCTACAGATCCAAACAGCCAGCAAAGAGTTCCTTTGTAAGCCAAGGTCTCCCTCCTCTGTACACCAGAAATCAGAGACCATTCACCTTTGCTGGAAGCCTCCTGGCAATCCTGCATTAGTACAAAATTTGGAGGGGAAAACTGCTTGATTTCCTATTTCAAAACACACTGAAGCTGTAAAGTATTCCTCTAGAGCGTGTTCAAATTTTAATGCTAATTCAGAATATTTTCAGGTAAATTCTTCTGGCTTGGTTCATATCCTCAGCTCTTCTTTATTAGTAGTTTCTAACATTTACACAATGAAATTAGATAAATGTAAGCCACTGACTTTTCTAGTCATTACTTGTAACCTAGTATTGCCTGCATAGACTTCACATGGAGCCATTTCAACAGCAGAGTTGTTGAAGTGGGAAGAAGTCCACAATGACCACAAAGTCTTCAGCTGATTCATGGTACCGGAGACAAAAGCCCCAGATCATCCTTGTTCACCTCCCTGCCACTGAGGTAACATTCTTCATTCTTTTTCACAAATCCAAACACTCTAATGCATTCTTATTACACAAAACAGATCAAAAGCAAAAACCAACTTCACTGTTTAGGAACACGAAAAATCCCACAGTAAGCTGCCTGCAAACAATAAAATTCTCCAACATATTAACAATTCCATGAGAATTGCTATCCCACACTCTGCTTGCTGATATACTTTTGTTCTACAGACACAAGCCATATACAAGAACTACAGTTATTTAATGAACATCAACTTACTCTTCAGGACAGTTTTAATTTTGGTCATCATTGGCTGCACACTCGTTTCTCCATCAGACTGGTGATCGCTCTCACCACCATATTTCTCATTATCCAGTCTCCTTGTTTTGGGTGCTCGAAGACCCTCTTCCAGCAGAGCATCCACATCATTATCAAAGTCATCCTGAAAGAGACTTCATCAGACACTATCCTTCTGGGTCTACCAACCTCCCTTTTCCCTTGCAAAGAGAAAGTACACATTTTTGATATGCACTTCCATAGAGAAACTAGACACTTCCAATGATTCCAGTAAAAAGACTGAAAAATAAGAAAATAAGTTTTTGTGAGAGCCGTATTTTTTATGATAAAATGAGTTGCAACTGTGTGAAAAGACTTTTAAATGTCATTTTTAAACAAACTACAGAACCTGCCACACAACTCAGGAGTTTAACCAAAATAGTTTAAAGAAGTTTTCAGCCAAAGCTCTGACTCTGAAAAGTCTGCATTTTTGACTCACATACTGCACACTTCTAGAAGAGACTGTTTCTTTGTGTAATTTTTTCTAGCCACTTGGAAACCTCTTACCCACCAAAAACCTGTGGATTTGCTTACCTCATATGAGAAATTCAAAGTTTCTTCATCCACTTTATCTCTTTGAACGATTGCTTTAGATGTGAACCCTCCTCCTTCTTCATCTATTTCCATCAAATTGTCGGTAAAGTCTTCTAGCTCATCCAGAACTGCATATTCCACTCTCTTTTCCTGATCAATATCATTTTCATCATCCTTCTTGTCCTCACTGTCTCCCCCTATTCCTACAGCTTTACCGTTACTACCACCGAAAGGACAAACATGCAAATCCCCATTGACATTATTAACACCAAACTCTGCGTCTGCCTTATAATCCTGCTCAACTCCAGTGTACAGAACTTTCCTGTCTTTGCTCTTGCAGCTCTCTGTAAAGCTAACACTAATCTTCACATCCTTCAGCAGCTTAAGATCTGGGGTGAACTTGCGGACCGACGGGGCGTGACGAGCGGTTCTGGGGCTTTGGTCGCCGCCGGCGGGGTCTACGATGAGGCGGCTCTTGTAGCAGGCAGATCCCTTGGTGAGCAGCTGAGTCCTGCAGAGCCCGGGCGTGTCCCCAGCAGGGCTATCTGACTGTCCATCACCACCAGAGCCAACGTCCATTACCTCTGCGTCACTGGACGTTTGCAGGGGAGGTGGTGGAGGCTGTTCGTTGGGCGGCAGAGGTGGGGGACAACTCTGGTTCTCCACATTCATTTCTCTCGCGGGTTCTTTAGGGAGGGGTGGTACACCTTCATAGTTCTCCATTGTTAAAACTACTGTCTCTTAAAAAAACAAACCAACGCTCTAATAAATGTTTATATCTATACTCCTAACATGCACGAGTCCATCGGGATTGGTTTATCGTGTTCTATTCAATATGCAACACTGATGATTCAGTTAAGCTGACTACATTGTTCTTTTCATTAATGTAGACAGCTTTCAGAATCACTGTCTCAATTATTGGAAATCACAATGCATTCAGCTTAAATAGCTGAAGACTAAGACTGCATCTTCATTGGACAAGCAGGTCTCCTTTTCTTCTTTCAACCTACAAGAAGAAGAAAAAAAAATTTTGTCACAGGAAAAAATGGAAATATGATCCCAGGCAGAAAGAAAACACGTAACTCCTGGCATAAATTTCAAGCAGAAGAGCGACATTTTTACAGTGAAAAATGCAGGGTACCCAGAGCCCATTCTGAATGAGGCTGGAATTCCATTGGTTTTACTGCTCGAGCTGTACACCAGCACAGGAATTTGCTAACACAGCTGCCCTGTGTTATGATTAGTTGACTGTCTCTGCTTGATTAGCAGGCAGGGCATTAAGCACGACAGACTAAAAACCGTGCATTTTGGGGAGGTTCTCCCATAATTTAAAACAACCTGGCACTCAAGCCATACTTACCCACACAGCAGAAAGGATAATTAGCTTACAGTTTAAGACAATCTGCAAAACCAAGAGGTTTTTAACAACTCTGGTCTGTAAGACACATGGCTTTTCAAAGTTTAAGTCATTAGGTATTTTTGAAAACTCACAGGATGTTTTAACAGGAAATCTCATAATTCACTAAAATCTCACAGAAAATTACTCTCTAGACAGTCAGATATTAGACATTTGATCTTGTATTTTGTACTACTAGGGACCTATTTATTTGTTATGTCCAAGGAATTCAGGTCCAGATACATATCACTGAAGCTCAAAATAATTTTGGAAGGTATTTAGAAGTCAACGTTTTAGGTAATTTAAATTGGAAAAAATATTCAATTGCTCTAGGAAATTTTACAGGAGATGGAGAGTGTGTGTTTAGGGCTTGTTTATTTTTTACATTAAGTGGGTTCTTTCTACCATGTCTATGATGCCTTCTTCAACTATACTTTTGTCATCTGTGCAGGACCACAAGCACCTGGGAAAGGAAGCATAATTTCTTACCTGATTATTTTGGTTTCTCCAAGTCCCTCCATGCCAGCCCAAACTAGGCTTAAATCTTCCAACCAGCTAGAAATGAAGCAGTGTCCCTCTGCCCAAGGCAGCTGGCTCAGCCTGCTCTGTTCAAAGCATCCCCAAGTAGCAGAGAAAGTCTACCCAAGTATTGTGGGAAGAAAGCTCCAGGTCCTTCGTGTTGCTGTGTAACACTGAAGGCAGCAGGGCAGAATGTCTGGGTTGTCAGGAGGGACTTATGGAGAAACCAAATAGAATTGCCTCATGTATCTCTAGGCCAGCCCAGGAGGCACAAACCAACAGCAATATCCAAACACCAACTGGGGCAAGGCAGGAAGCTGGGAATAAGAAGTTATAACGGGATCAATTAAAATTCAACAACATACACAAGCCACCTACCTGGAAACTGGAAGAAAGTATAATATCCAACAGAGCAAACTCTTATATTAGTGATTTGGCAATAAAACAAGTTCTGCTGGGGCAGCAGAGCAGTTCATATTTTGTGGTCATTTTTTAAACATACTCAAAGTTGTGACACATTCAACATGCTGAGCTTGACATGCATTGTAGAGTCACTAAGGAAAAAGGCTCCAATTTGATAAGAGCTCTAAAACAATCCCGCCTTCTCTGATACAAATGTGTTGCTTTTCAGATTGAAAAATGGCTCATTCACCAGTAAGACAAGCAGTTCTATACATTCATCCTACAGGATGAACACACAGTGACCCCAGCAGCAAACAATTCCTTCTTATTTCAGCAAGTTCTCAAACATCTACCATTATACAGAACACCTCTAGAAATATAATTCTCTAATAACCTTCCTCATCTTCAGATTAAAAAAGAAAAAAAGTGAATGACAAATGATTAAAGTTCTTCACAGTAAATCATTAGTGTCTTAATTGTTAATTCTGAACAAAAGAATCAAAAAAGCCACAGCATGAGTTCACTAACTCCTGGAAATTAAATACCTAAGTCTTCTAATTTTTCCACCCTAAGAGTCTTCTAAAGACTCCTGAAAAGAACAAACAAGCAATTCACACAGAAATGCAGTACTGAAATCAGCATTCTAGAATTTGAAAGAGCAATACCTTCCCATGTGTTGCTACCTGGTCCAAGCAGAAACTAATGTTGCCAAGGCACAAGCCATGCTGTGGATGCCCTTTGCACCCCCTGAGACATGCCCTGCTCCTGCACCAAAGGGTGTCTTACCACCAATGTCAAAACGGGAGAGCTTCACCTGCCTAGATTTGGTAGTTCACTGACAGAACACCTCTGCTTTTTGCAGGAAAGATGTCTTGTTATTCTATTTCAAGTACTGGTAACAATTAAATTCCTGTTCTCTTCCCTTTCTTGTTGGCCTGGAAATGATGAATAGCTGAATACCAAATCACTGCCAGGGATTGTTGACTACTTGGTACAGATACTGTGGTCAAGAAAAGTACTAAACCAAGGGGAATTTAAAGGAGCTTTTCCACTTCTAGCCATAAACCTGCCACATCCCCAGGATAAGATAACAGCCTGGTAGCTCTACAGCTACAGTGGGCTACAATACCTTCCTATAAGCTATAAAAAGCCAGGGAGAAGCAGAGTAACACAGGTCCAAATCCCACTGACTTTCCTGCCAACTGGCACTACAATATGCCCTTTATATCAGGGGCTGGGAAAAAAGATCCCACAACAAAACCAGTAAGGATTTTCCCTGAGCTATCAGGTATTTCAAAGACAGACAGAAGGGATGAAACCTGAAAGGATGAGTTGGATAAGCTGGTAGGTTACAAACAGCCAAACAGACCTTAGATCAAAAGAACACAACTGGCACATACAAAACCTGGCTTAGTATACTGGGTTATGGTGTGACCTAAGTCAGTTTGCATATTGCCATCCTTCATTAGCTTGTCCTGAAATAACAGTTAATTCTCCAAGGCTCCACCAAGTTCCATCAACAGTTTCCATAAGGACTCCTGCCAAAGATAAGGAACAGCACTGAGAGCTGCCCCAGGCAGTACAAAACACTGAAGGCACTCTGGATGATCTGTGGAAAACACGAACGCACAGCCCACCATCTGCAGATCACCAATACACACAAATCTCACACTTTTAACTGATATTAGCAGATCACTCAAAAAAGTTTCATGTCACGAAGTAAATTCAGTGATACAGATAATGGGGACTCCTAAAAGTAACATAGTGAGCTGCACAGGTCCCAGCAAATGCAAGCCTTGGCTTGGTCGTCTTACTGATGTCCTTTGAAGGCAGAAAAGAAAAACAACAAACTACTTTGTTTAGTAAGTTCCACAACCAGACAGGAGAGGGATGGGAGAGAAGTACACAGAGAAAAGGGTCTCTTTTTTCAAGGCAGGAAAAAACCACAATCTTAGAATTTGTAACCAGCACCACCTAAACTCAAAGAACTCTCTTCCCTGGACAGCAGGTCAGCATCTAGAAGGGAACTTCATAAAGAACATATTTTTCACAGATACCTGTAGCCACAATAAAGAACAGCATACCACAGATTCTCTCCTCAAAAAGTCACTTTTAAAAAGAAACTGGATTCTGTGTCAGAAACTACTTACTTCACACTCAGTGGACCCAAAAGGAGGAGTAGCCCAGAGCAAACTCTCCTTATTTGCTAACCACATACAAAGTCATCCTCCTCATCCTCTGGCCCCAAATGAAGCTGAATTTATAAGGCCTTGATCACACTTATTAACCCCTGTCAGAGTAATTTCTCACTCACAGTCATTCACCTTCTTTTATTATACCTATTGTATCTTTTTGACACATACAGTTCCAGAAGTAAATTAATCCTATTTATTATCCCTGCTAAAAGACCCAAAACTAACCCCAAAGAGACTGAATTTACCTTCTTTAAATCAGAACAGGAAATGCCAAAAGAAAAAAATATTCTGTATGTTAATTACTCCATACTTGTTTTCTTGTTTCTCTCCCCATTATCAGCTTTAGGGTAAAGAGATTCTGAAGGAAACAATCACTTTGTGAAAGTCAGTCATCAAAGAAGTTTAGGAAAATGCAGCCAGGGCCAACAATAGCATTATCAGTGGCAAATACATACAAGACTCAAGAACTTCTCAAGTTCCTAACACTTCATCCCATTTCAGAACAAACAGAACACATGATTTTGGAAAGGCATCCTCAGAAATGAGAAAACAACAGCTGCTTTTATAGCTTGACCAGTCTTCTGGCAAGGTTTAGATAGTTTTGTTAATTGTGTAAAACAGGAAACTAAATTTAAAAGAAGGCAAAAATCCGAGTGTAGGAAGAAGGAAAAATATTCCTCCTTTCACATCACACATAAGCTTCTTACTTGTAAAGAAAAACAACAGACACAAGGAACCAAATTCCTTTCTCTTTCTCTAAAAATGCAAAAATAACCCAGATAACTGAAAGAACTAGCAACCCAGCAGAATTAAAAATAGGAACCCTTAAGTTTAATTACCTAAATAGAAGAGGCAATTTCTCAACTTCTAAAAGAAAAATTAAAGATGTAATTCCAAGACCTGTAACTCAGAGCCTACAGGAGTCAAGAAATGAAATGGGTTCACTCAACCCCAGTTTACGAGGAAGCAACGCCTGGATGTTGGGTGGGCAAAGAAACTTTACAGATAAACCCGAAGCCTAGGGAAAAGAAGTACAAAAGAACGAACAGCTTCCTGCCCACCACCCCCCGCCCCAAAAAAAAGGAAAAAAAAAAAAAAAGAAGAAAATTAGGAGAATTAACCTTCCAGAGAGTGAACAAGATAATTTACTATTAATAGAAGGAACACTCTAATAGGGGTCCTGAGAGTTACAGACACAGCACCTTATCTTCAACGCACCACAACTAAAAAAAAAAGTGCCTTTTCTTCCTCACTTCGGCCCGGAGGAGACACAGCTTCTCTCCCCTGCACAAAGGGTGTGTCCGGTGAATCGCCCCGTCCCTCCGGTCACCCCCGACACACGAGCGGTCCGGGGGACCCGGGGCAGGACCCGCCGCTCCATCACCCCGGGCAGGGCGGCACTGACAAGGCGTTTCCCTCCTCTCCACCATCCCCAGCGCTACCCCACGGCCGGGCAGCGGGGACGTGGCTGGGGGCAACGGGAAACAAACACACAAACAAACGAAACGATCCCCACTAAGACAAGCCCGAAACAAACCACAACACAACCGCAGCTCTGAGGGCAGGACGCCCCGGCCGGAGCGGGGGGAAGCGCGGCACAGCAACACCCGCCGGGCAGGGCAGCGCCTTCCCGCCGCAGCGCTGGTTTGGGGGGGCTCGGGGAGAGGCTCCCGTGGGCTCCGCGCCCAGGGCCGGGCCGGGCGGGCGGCGGGAGCGCGGCGGGCCCGCGGGCGCCGCGGCCTGTGGGGCGGAGGGGCCGGTGTCCGCGCGGGCCCGCCCTGCCCGTCGCCCCGCGGGGCCCGCACCCACCTGAGCCATCCCCGGCGGTGCCGCCGCTCCTGCGCCGGGGCTGCGAGCGAGGCCGAGCGCGGCCGCCTCACGACCACCGTGCCCCTCTCGGCGCCGCCGCCGCCGCCATCTTTAAACGCCTGCTCTGGGCCCCTCCGCTCCCCGCGGGCGGGGCCCCGCGCGAACCCAGCCAATCGCGTCCGCCGCCCCCGCTGGCACCGCTTTGAACTCCCGACAGCCATTGGTGCGCTCCCGTGCCTGTCAACTCGCTCCACCAATGGGAGCGCGGGAGGCGCCCGCCCCCACGCACGGGCCATGGCGGGGCGGGCGGGCCCTTTGTGTGGGCCGGGGCCGCTGAGGGGCCGCGCGGGGCTGTTCCACCGCACGAACCGGCCGCCAGAGAAGACGCCGCTTCCTACAAACACCGCTTTTGTATCTTTAAGCAGCACAACTGCAGCGTTGCTGCTTCAAGACGGGTTTAGCAAAAAAGGTAAATCAAAGTAGGGCCGTTTTCCGTGCCATAGGTACCAAGCAGTTCACAGAACAAGCCCCCGATCTGTTTGCAGTGTTTAGACAGAATTCCTAAATAATTACAGAAAGTCTTACAGAATTTATGTAAAATCACTTCTAAAGTGCTAATGAACAGCTGCGAATTTGCTCTGTTACTTTATAATTTGTTTCCCCAAAAAACCATAAAGAGCTATAGAGAGCATTTATTCATACACCTAATTATAGGGTTGCCTCTTTTTTCCTTCACTGTTATACTGATTTGAAATCAACATGAGATAGAAAACATCGCCATAACACAGACTGGTTTCATCACCAACAGTATAATAACATTTAACTGTGAAAAATGCTTTTGTTTGCTTCCATATGTAATTTCAGGACACGAGAATATTTTTCTAATATTTCACTCATCTCATGTCTTTGAGGTCCCCAAATCCTGCTATGAAATCATCAGTAATATTTTAATAAAACAGTAATATTTTAATAAAAATTTTAAATCGTACTTTGAAGACCCCTGCTAGGCCTTTCGTCTTTTTGTCTGACTGGACCAACACATCTAATGAGAGGGTGATAATTTAGATGTAATGTCACGGTACTGTATCAACACATCATGAACAATTACCAAAATTGCTTGAAGTCTTTGCAAGCTGCCCTGAAAACCTGAGAGCAGTTTCGACCAACAGCATTTTCTAATTTTAATTCCTCATAACAGGCTTCTGCACTCAAGCCATCATTTTAGTGATTTTTAAATTAAGTCTGCTTTTATTAATGTTAAACCACTTCAGAACGTGTATTAATAAACGCCCACGGTTTGCAAAACAGCCACTTACATCACACTTCAACTTGTCAAGGCTGGGGAAAAAAACCCTCATGATTAAGCACAGAGTTGAAGTTGATGCTGGCATTTGCTGTGTCAGGTCACCTCCCATCACTAACATTGTGACAGAAGATTGTCCCTCTCACAGGGTCTGTGAAAATGCAAATACTGTGACTCATGTGCATCCCATTTATGTGACTGTATAACTGAACTACTGCACTAGGAAGATCACATACTTAGAAAACAGGTTTAATTCTTCATATGTACATAAACAGCCATGTTTCAGTTAGAACCAGAAGAGGCACGCACACAGATTTTTGCACAGAGTTGGGAGAATTAAAATGCCTGCAGTGCTTTGAAAGTGAAAATATAACCAGAGTCAGTTTTTCCACTGTGCATCTGTTCTCAGAGAATCATAATGCTGTGACCTAAAGCAACGATGCAACAACTGATTCTTTGAGACACAGACACTACAGGGAAATATACTTCTAATTTTTTATGAACAAAAGAATAACAATCCATTAGCAAAATAATGTTTTCATCCAAACAATGCTCAAATCGTGTAATTTTTTACGCCCAAGGTGTATGTGACCTCTGGAGAATTATATCTGTCTGATCTGCTATGTCTAACAAGGGGCAAATTCACCTGAAAATTTTCATTGCCTGCACTTCTGATGAAAGACTTTTCAAACATGAATATGAGTCTTCCAATTTTGAGTTAGAAGTGTCTTCCACTTTTGAACCAGAAGTGCACAGGTCCACCTGCACAGTGCAATCAGAATGTACCACAATATCATGAAGTAAAATTATCATCAGCTAAAAGAAGTTCCTAATGACAAAGACATTTTCACATGCAAGATATCAAAAGGCTGGACAGAAACTACTGCTGCCAACACAAAATACAGAAATCAAGGCTATAAAGCAAGAAGTATGAGCTTCCCAATAAAGTTACCAGGCTGCATTCATTGGAATGAAAATTAGGTGGAGCCAGTGGCTTTTTCATATGTTCACTTCCAGTGTTAGTAATTGCAGCACATACTGTGCCATTCCCACAGTGAAAGACAAGTCTTGCTCAGCCTGCATTACTTTTATTTCAGTAAAATAAGTTGCACTGCAGCTTTTTATGGGTTTTTTTTGGCACTGGCATGCATTACATGTCTTAGTGTTCCACTTTTTGCTGAAATCTGCTCTCCTCACCTAACCTCTGTCAGCCCTCCCCTCACAGCCACGGGAAGTCATCAAAAGGACCCCGTGAGCAATCTCAGATCAGTTCTCTGATATCAAAAGAGGTAGCTGATTGCTACAGAAAATAATCAAAGTAGACACATCCTTTGGCTCAACAGTACCACAGAATTACTAATCTTGCTCTTGCCATCCACACAGATTCATCATAAACTAAACTGTGTTGTCTACAGAAGCACATCTAACTTCTGATTTTCCTGTTGGAAAAACATCAGCCAACTGGTTAGCCAAAGTTCCAGACTGCTGGTAGCATTTTTCCCAGAAAGGCAGACACTCTTCTAAAGACACTATTACTTAAAGTGGGGTATGCTGACTTAAGAGGTCAAATGAAAAGTAACAGCTTTATGTGCAAGTCGGGGCATTTTTTTAAAAAAGATGCCCATTTTTAAGTAACCAAGAGACCTTCACATTAGAAACTGGACTGCACAAACCACTCAGAACTAAAATTCGGTGCAATTGCCACCTGGACCTGGGCTGGTGCTATCCTGCACCCATCAAGGCTTCCCTTGCTTGTTCTTCATACAGAGAACAAACTTGGTCCTAGGGCTGAAAATCCTGCATTCCTAAATACACTCAATTTATCTATGGGGAATATCAAAGAAAAAAATAAATAACACCCATGTGGGACAGAACAACAGTCTTCATACTTTGCTTTCCATAGGCCTTGTCATCCAAATAGTTCAGAGCACTTTTCTGAAATAGGCAATATATATCTGTTATTTGTAAAGATAAACTTAACACAAAATCCTCTGAGCCAGCCTTGTGCTGCTTTCACATTGTGCATCTCTACCAGTCAAACTAACCCTGTCAGTCAGTCTTAGTTACTTTACAAGAGCTGTAGTAGTGTTCCACTGACAGCTACCTCAGACATTCTGGCTTCTCAACCTCTGTTGCGTGGCAGTTTTGCTTCTGAGTCATTACACACATCATGATGCTTCTAATTCAGACCTGTGGTAACAAAGCACACTTTGTTGTACACACTTTGGGTGAACCGCAGCTAAGAAACTCTTGCTCCAGTTCCTCAGCCTGGCCTAGTCTCTGTCCTGCTGGCAGCACAGACATGAATCAGGAGCATAATCTTTGCCTGTCAAAAGTCCAGCTGTAGTTGCACATATATGAGCAAAACCATAAATGTCAGTACCTTTGTTTTCCCCAACAGAGGCCAAGTAAGTTATGGTTCTGAAAGCACAGTCATGCTGGTAGGGTTGTTTTTTATGTAACTGCCATTCTGGGAATGCTTTGCCAGTCTAAACTCATGCATATTATACCAAGACAGAACTCAGACTTGACTGGCACAATATATTGCTGAAGAAAACAGAAAAATTTGCAGCTGCCGTGTTGTGAGGATACTGATACAACACATCTATCACATGCTGCATCTGCAAGTCCAGCAGAGCAACATCAGCAGATCTGTGCAGCAAAACAGTTGGTACATTGTCTCTGTGCAAGGCACATTTCAGACAATTTTGCTTCAGGTTAAACCTGTTACCTGTGGGACAACACTTTGTGCATTCCTCAAGCACACCTACTAGATCTGTTCCATCTGAAACCAGCCTGGACCCTGGGACCTGAAATGTGAACTAAAGCACAGGCAAGAGGGACTGTCAGAGACACCAGGTAAGGGCACTGTCAGTCCAACCAAGGTGCTAATGCAGACCCATCTGTGATTGAAGGGACAGTTAATTCCTCTCTAAATCCCAGTCATTCCAATGACAAATAGGAGATGGAGAATGCATCTGACTAAGACCAGGCTCTGTGGTTATTCAGAGCAGAGCTAGTACAGGGAGAGGAAAAAACTGGCTTTCTCATTCACCTTTTTCTTGAGAGAGTACGTTCCTTTAACAGAGGCAAAAGCCTCAACCACTGAATACTAATTATAATCCTGTACCACAAGAAGAGACACTACTGGCTCCACATATCCTCCAGTTTATTATTTAATATATCTCAATTCCTGTCTGAAAAGTGATGTGGTGTTCTAGTTTACTTTGGCCACAAACCTATTACATGTGGTTTTCTGCACCGACCAGAAGAGATCAATGTGTTTGCACAGTCTGGTGAGTCACAGCCCCAGGCTGGCTCTGTGCCTGCAAGGATGGCAGGTGAGATATCCACGGAAAACACCTCCTGGAAAACACTTCCTCCAGCACCCAAGGGAAGCCTGTCAGGCACCGAGTGCATCAGCTGGCACTGCCATTCTCAGAGGCCTCCAGAAGAACAAGCTCATAAAATCAGTGTGTGTTCTCTGCTAAATTAAGTGTGGCTTCTCCTCCCCTTCCTTTCTCCAGCTTCTGATGTGGTTTTAGCTTTCGTTTGTTTTTCTCCATTTATCTTTCTAGCACAAACACACAAAAATTTAACATCAATCAGCAGAGAAATTGCTTTTTTTACCATTCACGTTGCATATGACTTAAATGGATTGTAATTTTGGGCTATCCTACTTATATAAAAGTTTACATTCATTATTACCTTTCTCCCTCATCTCTGATCCAAAATTCAGTCCTTATGTCTTCTATTTGAAAAGAAATGGTAAATTTGAGTGTGTTAATATGATACT